GCTTGGAACCCCAGGTCTCAGCGGTGGCCGGGAGAGCTTTTGCACAATTAAAACTTGTGCGCCAGCTGCGCCCGTACCTTGGGAAGTCGGATCTGGCCACAGTGGTCCACGCTCTTGTTACATCCCGAATAGATTACTGCAACGCGCTCTACGTGGGATTGCCTTTGAAGACTGTTCAGAAACTTCTATTAGTCCAGCGGGCGGCAGCTAAACTTCTCACTGGAGCATCATACAGAGAGCATACCATCCCTCTGTTATGTCAGCTCCACTGGCTGCCGATTCAGTTCCGAGCACAATTCAAAGTGCTGGTCTTGACCTATGAAACCCTATACGGCACCGGCCCAGTGTACCTGTCCGAACATATCTCCTTCTACGTCCTGCCTAGGAATTTAAGATCTTCTGGAGCGGCCCTGCTCTCAGCCCCGCCCTTGTCACAAACGGGATTGGCGGGGACGAGAGACAGGGTCTTCTCGGTGGTGGCCCCCTGCCTGTGGAATTCACTCCCCAGGGAAATTAGATCATTGTCATCCCTTCTCTCTTTCAGAAGGATATGGGACCAAGCCTTTGGGTAATCTGGCAGACTGACAATGGACAATGACGACTAAAGCTTTGGAAACGGACTATGATAAGCAGAATGAATTTATTAGTTACGGACTTGGCAAAACGATGGCCACCAGGCTGGCTTTATATTGTATTTTTATTGTATTAATGTAATGTTTTAATTGTTATAACTATTGTTACTATGTATTTTATTGTGTGAATTGTAGGCATCAACGTAAGCCGATTAGAAGCCACCCTGAGTCCCCCTTAGGGGGTTGAGAGGGGCGGGGTAGAAGTACCCGAAATAAACAAATAAATAAATAAATAAAAGGTCAAGTAATAATGCTGATATGGGGTTCTTCTATGATGCCTGGGAAATGTAGTGCCTAAAGTTTTTGCAGCTTTAGCAAGTACACTAGACAAATTATACTTCACAAAGTTCAGGTGTTTCAGATTTTTGGAAACAGTATTTTATGATATAAACAAAAGTTTCCTGATCCATTTCCATAACAAAGCATCACCCTTACAGTGGGTAGGTGAGCTCTTATTTTGTATGCCACCCTGAGATCTCATGATAAATGTCAGGATATGAATATTTTAATAAATAAATATAAATAAGGAGAAATCAAGGAGATAATAGAGAGATAAGCACTTATCATTCTTCTGATGATGTCATTAGGGAGTGTGATGGGGCCAAACTTTGGAATGAGATCAGAAATAAAATAATCACTTTTGAGTTGGTTGTTTTCAGGTTATCGTATGCCTGTTTTGACTCGCACCATGGGTTGGGAAGGAGAACTCATGAATTACTAATCTGATCGCCCAACTGAAATTTTCTTTAACTCAGTATGACTTCCATCTTTGAACTATTAGTGTCAGGTCACTCTGGCGTTAGTCGTGATGAGTATATTATCCATCCTCACAGATTTGAAATAAGAAGGAAAGAAGCATCCAAAATAATGAGGAAAGAAGCACAGCTTGTTCTTTCTACAACAAAATTGAATCTATTTTGCATTGCTTAGTTACAGGAAGAACTACATATTATACATAAAAGTATATAACAAATCTTCATTGGTTAAATCTACGGAAAAGAAAAGCATAACATGAGAGCAATTTCAAGTGGGTAAATGGTTCTTTCATAACTTCAGTCTGTTTCAGACACAGAGTGCTGTTGACTTTCTTTCTCACATCCAAAGACAAAGTCTTGTTAGTATACAGTTAGTAGCACCTTTGAGACTAACTGGGATAAAGAAGCTTGTAGCATAAGCTTTTGTAGACTTAGTCTTCGGTGCATCTGATGTAGCAAGACTCGTGTCTACAAAAGCTTCTGCAAAATAATAATATTTCTGTTAGTCTCAAAGGTACGAGAAGATCTCGTCTTTCTCATGGAACTGTGATTATCATAAAACAAATAAGACCCACTAGGGAAAATTAAATAATACCACCTATCCCTGCGACATGTAATGCTGCATTTTCTAATAGAGTACTAATCAAAAGGAGCAATAATCAAACACTATTTCATCTCAAGTACCATCGGGGAAAGTGGAGGTGGATGCTTGCTGCAAATCCAGAACAGCGTCGGAAATGACTGGCAAATAATCAAATGGGAATAATAAGAGATCATAAAGGAAACAGTGTATACACAAGATGCCAGACTCATGAAGAACCTAAAACATGCTTTGGATGCATGATAGTTGATCCAAATAGAGTACTGGAAGTTGGCTGAGAAGCAACCAGATACAGGGTGCTTTCATAGGTTACAGGAGAGAGCATACAGGACCAGGTTGTGGCGCAACTGGTTGGGAGTCAGATGCATTAAAATCACTACTGACCAAAATTTCTTTATTATTTATTTACAGCTTTTATATTCCGCCCTTCTCACCCCGCAGGGGACTCAGGGCAGATTACAGTGTACACATATATGGCAAACATTCAGTGCCAATTTTTGACATACAAACATATACAGACATACACAGAGGCTATTTAACTTTTTCTGGCCACCAGGGGACCTGTTGCTTTCATCGTCCATCTGCGACACTGATGAAGCACTTCCACATTCCCCGCATGCTTCCCCGCTGGAATGCTTTGTTGGAGTCTTCTTTATGGCCTCATAAATCAGTTAATTTAGCCTCCCCACACTTCAAGGTGGTACCTAATTTTCCTACTTGACAGATGCAACTGTCTTTCAGGTTGCAATGGTCGACAACAGGCTACACACAATTGGTTGGAAACCCACTCCAACCCGGGCTGGCTTTGAACTCATGACCTTTTGGTCAGAGTGATCTTAATGCAGCTGACACTCAGCCAGCTGCACCACAATCCCGGTGCGAAAGGTCATGAGTTCAAAGCCAGCCCAGGTCAGAGTAAGCTCCCAACCATTTGTCTAGCTCGCTGCCGACCTTCACAGCCTGAAAGACAGTTGCATCTGTCAAGTAAGAAATGTAGGTACCGCTTATGTGGGGAGGCTAATTTAAGTAATTTACGACGCCATAAAAAAATCTCCAGCAACATTCAAAAGGATGAGGAAGTACTCCATCGGTGTCACAAGTGGACGGTGAAGTGACAGCTCTCCAAGTGGCCAGAATTTGAAGCATAGCCTTGTGAAGCTGGAAAGTTAAATAGCCTCTGTGTGTCTGTCTATATATGTTGTGTGTATATGGCATTGAATTTTTGTCATGTATATGTGCATTGCGATCCGTTCTAAGTCCCCTATGGGATGAGAAGGGCGGAATATAAATATTGTAAATAAATAAATAAATATTCCTATCTGACTTGTGTCTATGTTATTTGATAAGGTGCTATAGAAATTGCCTGAATTTTAAGATATTTTAGGAAAGCACTTCTTGTTCCGTCTTCTAGGAGCATAGTTTGCATTACCTTTAGTTGCATGGGATAGTGTTCCTTTGCCTTTCCCCAGGGTTGCTACAATCTCAGCTGCACTCTGAAAATTAACAGCATTAGAGGCTAGAAAGCCAGTCTGAAGGCCTCCTTTTGCAGCTATTGGTTTAGAAAGTATCTCTTTGGGTCTAGGGACCACCTCTTTTCCAGGGTTGAGATCTCCATTTTGGAATCTTCCCTGCCTCTTTCACTAGAGAAATAAAGCTTCAGGTGTACTGTTGGTCAGCAGGTAATGACTCCGGCCCGGTTTACCTCTCCGAACGTATTCTCCCCTACGAACCATCAAGATTACTAAGATCGTCTGGAGGGGCTCTGCTCTTGGTCCCACCGGCCTCACAAGCGCGGCTGGTGGGGACAAGGGACAGGGCCTTCTCGGTGGTGGCCCCACGACTCTGGAACTCTCTCCCGCCAGAGGTCAGAACCGCCCCAACAATCCTGACATTCAGGAAATAGGTGAAGTTGTGGTTATGGAGACAGGTTTTCGAAGAATGAGACAACGATCTGGATGGAAGACGGTGTATATTCGATATTCGAGTTTAGTATGACGACTGACCACTGTAGTTTTAAATATATGTGCTTTTTTAATGTTTTATTGTAATGTGTACTTTGATATTTTACCGATTGTATGTGTTTTTATGGTTGGAAACCGGGCTGAGTCCCTCTTATGAGGTGAGAAGCTCGGTATATAAAACTTTGAAATAAATAAATAAATAAATAAACTCTGAAAAAACCATTATAAGAACTAATTGAGATAGATAGACTATTGAGATATAGGTAGAAAGATAGCTTGAGAAATAGATAGATAGATAGATAAATTTAGTATTGAGAAATAGTAATTGAGTTATATAGAAGCATATTGAGATTTAGATAGAGAAGCTATTGAGTACTATAGAGATAGATAGATAGGATAGGTATTGAGTTATATATTGAGCATTACTTCATCTCCAAAGCTAACCTTGAGCTAAAGATAGGGGAAAAAACCTGCTTTTTTCTAACCATAGCAGCTCAGGGTAGGGTGAAAATGTCCCAGGATATTCTGCCATTTTGGGGAAAGGTTGCCTCAGTAACTCAAGGAAAGGAAAGAAAGATAATCTCTACTGCTTCATCAATTGACTGTTTTGTTTGTAACTTTAACAAGCTGTGCCAAGTCTGCAAGGACTTTGAGAAATAAAGATTCTGTTTTGATGTTCAAAGCCTGTGGTAGCTTTAGTTGCTGGGAAACTCAAGCTTCTAAAGAAAGACCCCTGCGGTCCACCCAGACAAAGAGAAAAGCACATCTTAATTTATTTTTATAGGGTCTGGATGAGACGGCACACTTCTCTAGGACTTATTACTACTACTGGAGGCATATGTGGCGAGGCAAAGGCATGTCAGTAATGGCAGACCTCTAGAATGTAACCTGGCCTATTGTTTAAGAGAGCTGAAACTGTTGAGTGATGAATCTATTGTTCGCCTTATGTTTATCCTCTATCAGGAAGCCAAGGTATTTTTTAAACTACATTGATATGAACGAGAATGGCAGGATTGGGTACAACATGCAGTGTTTGACAGCCAGCACTCACCTGTTTCAGAAAGCAATTTCGTTGCTTCTAACACTTTCTCTGTGTAAACCCCAGCTTCATAGTTTTCCATCTCTGCATTAATTATATGGATGACTCTGGCTGCACGTCCTCGAATGGCCCCTGCAGTTCTGTCCAATGTGTCAACATCTCCCTCTTGCAGGGCAATCACACATTTATTGACATCCTCCAAGATATGGTTTTCTGCACAGGGAAAAGAAAACACCGTGATTGCTCTCCAGTGACGTTGGTCTTTTAAAGCAGCAAAGCATCATACAATTAAGTTTCTGTGGCTATTCTTTGTCACAAGTTTAATTCAAAGGTAGAAGATACTGGTGTGCTGTCGCACGCTGGGCCTGTGCATCAGACTGTAGTCAGGACATAAATTCTGTGTGCCCAACAGGACGCCGGGGCTGCCTCAGATTAAAAGCCTTTGGATTTCCTTAAAACAGAGTCTTTAGATTGCTTAAAGGTTCAACTAAGTTCTTTATTAATGAAAACAAACAGGTACTTTAAGGCTTTCTTAACAGTCTATTGGCTCTCTCTCAATCTTGTCCACAGGGAACAGGCACTATCTTCATAACTGTAACTAATGGGGAAATCCTTAACTTCTAATCTGGGCAGTCTGTCTTTGCCTCTGTTGGCGTGGAGCTTCTGGCTTCCGTGAGTGACCCTTACCAAGCAGAGATTTGTAGACTTCCAGGGGAAAAAGAACTCAGGTTTCCGTGATGGCTGACTGAAGTCCTTCAGCAAAGGAACTGTAGGGCTGTATAACCTAGCCAAGCTGTGGGCTGTATATCTCCCCAGCCAAGCTGTAGAAGACCAAGCTTTCTACAGGAGCTCTTGGTGTTATGTCCTGCATGAAAGGCTTCTCTGTGTGGACAGAACCCAAACTGGCTCCTATTCCCTCCAAAACCCAAAAAGGGGGCGGGACCAGGGAACCTAACTATAATTGACAGGTGACTTGCCCTATGATTGCAGCCAAAAGAAGCCACCTATCTGCAGAGTCCCTGAAACTTAGGACTACAACCAACATTCAATGCAAAGCAAACAAAATTGGAGCTCCTGGTACAGTTGTACCTGCACAACTGGTTTAAACCAAAAGATGGTAGTTTGCCCATAGTTACACAATTAATCCTTCTTTGGCTAAAGGTGATTTGAATCCAGGTTTCCAGATATCCAATATTTCACTCAAAGGATGAGAGGCAGGCTGATGGAAACCTCAAAAAGGTCATGTTATTTACTACATTATTTCCCTTTTATGAGGAATATGTAAGTTTCAACTGGTACACTCTTTACAAGGCAGATGCCTAATACCATTGATGCACAATTAGAGAACTATAGTGAGAGTAGCTGGTTACTATGGAAGTGCTTGTTACCATGACACCCATTATCCACAAAAATTACCATTAACTATTTTTCTCATTGCAATGGCCATCACACTTCCTTTAAAAACTATTATACAAAGTTTTTAACTACTTGTATTTTCCATTGCAATTGACAGGACAAAACTGATATGGAAAGAAAAAAAAAGACAAGTAGGAGAGAAGAGAAAATGAAGCCATTTATGTAGTGTTTGTGCGAGTTTTTTTAAAAAATGGCAGGATATTTTTTTGTATGACTAATGATTGGAGATTGTTGCTTCATTGTAAATGTACTTATCTCATATGATTTTCTGCAGCTTGAACACAGAGTACAAAAAGCTGGATAGGCCTGGGGTACATCAATGTATTGATTTCAATTGACTAGATCATGAAATATAGTGCTGTTATCAAGAGATTTCTTTGATAATCCTGATCATTTGTCTTTTAGACCTAGTTCACATATGTACCAGAGAACAGACAATATGTACTGTTGCTATGTGCTTAATGAGATCCAGACTGACTATCTCTTTCCACAGATGCATTTCGTAATCTTTTTGCAATGGTTGGATGTATATCTCCCTGACAGCTTTCACAAGGATCTCCCTCCCTCCCTCCCTTCCTCCTTCCTTCCTTCCTTCCTTCCTTCTGGGTGGAGAATTCTTGGGGGTGGTCAGTGGAAAAGCAACTTTTCAAAGCTGTTACCTTCTTATCAATGGATATACATTAACGTAATGTATATGCCTTAAAGATAAGCTTTTGATGTTTGGAGATCTTTTCATAACGGGAATTAGTAGACGACAGTGACAAATGCAAGATACTCCACTTTGGCAGAAAAAACGAAATGCAAAGATACAGAATGGGGGACAATGCCTGGCTCGAGAGCAGTACGTGTGAAAAAGATCTTGGAGTCCTCATGGACAGCAAGTTAAACATGAGCCAACAATGTCATGTGGCGGCAAAAAAAGCCAATGGGATTTCGGTCTGCATCAAGAGGAGCATAGTGTCTAGATCCAGGGAAGTCATGCTTCCCATGCTCTATTCTGCCTTGGTTAGACCACACCTGGAATATTGTGTCCAATTCTGGGCACCACAATTCAAGAGAGATATTGACAAACTGGAATGTGTCCAGAGGAGGGTGACTAAAATGATCAAGGGTCTTGAGAACAAGCCCTATGAAGAGCAGCTTAAAGAGCTGGGCATGTTTAGCCTGAAGAAGAGAAGGTTGAGAGGAGACATGATAGCCATGTATAAATATGTGAGAGGAAGTCACAGAGATGAGGGAGCAAGCTTGTTTTCTGCTTCCTTGGAGACGTGGACATGGAACAATGGCATCAAACTACAAGAAAGGAGATTCCATCTGAACATTAGGAAGAATTTCCTGACTGCGAGAGCTGTTCAGCAGTGGAACTCTCTGCCCCAGAGTGTGGTGGAGGCTCCTTCTTTGGAGGCTTTTAAACAGAGGCTGGATGGCCATCTGTCAGGTGTGCTTTGAATGCTTCTTGGCAGGGGGTTGGACTGGATGGCCCATGAGGTCTCTTCCAACTCTATGATTCTATGATTCTATCTCTGAATAATACTGCAATATTTCATATCATGTTGTGCACTTGGTTATAATCTCACTCTATAAACTGTATTTTAAGGTGGAACTGTCTGCAATTCTAGGTCTCCCCAAGGGCTTAACTAGACGTACACAATAACCTAGGGTTGGGTTGAAGCAGACATTCTCTGAACTGTCCCTGGATTCCACAGAGCTGTTCAGACTGTCTGCCCTCAACCACAGTAGTAGGAGAAATTCTGGCTTAAAATAATTAAGGAGTGAGATCTAGCACCCTGATTCGTGAACCTCCATGGCGAATCATAATGGAAGTTGAGTGGCAGTGGGGCAATCCTGGTTGCCAGCCGATGCTTTCCCATCACACCTGGAACATAGGGCGGTTTTTGAGTTGGCGGCAGCAGCGTCCCACCACACTGCTATGTCCATGGAGCCCCATTGGAAGTTGCTGCACATCTTTTGATGGGTGGCATGGGGCTCCATGGATGAACCCAGGCAGAAGCATCCTAGGACACTTCAATTGCCCCATGTGATAAAGCTGCTAATCTTGCTGGACAGTCAACCATGTATTGTCGAAGGCTTTCATGGCTGGAATCATTAGGTTCTTGTGGGTTTTTTCGGGCTATAGGGCCATGTTCTAGAGGCATTTCTCCTGACGTTTTGCCTGCATCTATGGCAAGCATCCTCAGAGGTAGTGAGGTCTGTTGGACAATGGGTTTATATATCTGTGGAATGGCTGGGGTGGGGCAAAGAGCTCTCCTCTGCTAGAGCTAGGTGTGAATGTTTCAACTGACCACCTTTATTAGCATTTGAAGGCCTGGCTGAGCCTGGGAAAATCTCTTGTTGAGAGGTGTTAAGATGTGCCTGGTTGTTTCCTCTCGGCTGTTTTGCTGTTGTAATTTTAATTTTTTAATGTTTTTTAATACTGGTAGCCAGATTTTGTTCATTTTCATGGTCTCTTCCTTTCTGTTGAAATTGTCCACATGCTTGTGGATTTCCACAGATATTTAAACCCATTGTCCAACAGACCTCACTACCTCTGAGGATGCTTGCCATAGATGCAGACGAAACGTCAGGAGAAATGCCTCTAGAACATGGCCCTATAGCCCGAAAAAACCCACAAGAACCTAGTCAACCATGCTTGGTATGCCATCCCTGTCATCATGAGAGATGGCAGGAGGCCTACAGAGAACTCCTGACCATTTTAGATGCCTTTTCCGACATCAGCAGAGATACTTGCACAGCCAAGGAGCTCTCAAGACTGCAGGGTTAAGGGGATGGTGGCCCTTGGTCATGTGGACAGTAGATCTGTTCGGATTAGTGCCAGTCCAACTGTCTACACTATCTGTGAAGTTTGGAGTTGCTTTGGAAGCAGTAAAACCGGGGACTGAGGGAAAATTTAAATGGGGGAAGACTTCTTATGGGGGGGGGGGTGTTCTAATTTTGCTTCCTACCTGTAGTTACACCCCTGAAAATTCAACAAACACATCCAAATTAACAAGGTCTTTAAGTTTGTTTCATTTGGAGGAGACAGAATTCTCCTTTTGCCTCACTCTAGTAGCTATACTCCTGATTTGTGATCCACTCCACATCCAAATATCCAGCAGTGCTATATAAACAAGTTAATCAAAGTTTACTTCCCCAGAACTGACAGGCTACAGTAAAATAACACAGAGCTGCAATGAAAAAATGTTTTTCAATATAGGATCTGCTAATATATTTTGGGGAAAAAAATCAGACATGGCCATCACAAATTCAATATTTTTATCAGTTCAGTTGTTACTCAGTTTTGATTAAGTGCAGATGTTGATGTTTCAGCACTATTTCTTTTAGTGCTCTTGAACAGATCTTTATGTTTCACACCAGCAAATTGAAGTGTTTTGATAGCTTATTAAAGGACCTTAAACCCTTTCTTACTGTTTGCTCTTTAATCCCCAAAGAAATCTCAGTCGCATAATACAAAATAATAAAAAATAAATAAAGCAAGATGTGTTGAAAAGAAACAATATGTGATGGAGCAAAAACAATTTGGATTGAGAATGGCAGATTCCTTTAAAATCAACCCAAATAAAGTAGACTTTCATTTAACCAATGGGAGGTTCCAGAGAAAAGTAGTTTTTGGTCGCTTGGAAGTTACTTCATATTATAGGTATGGTAAAGGTTTTCCCCTGACATTAAGTCCAGCCATGTCCAACTCTGGGAGTTGGTGCTCATCTCAATTTCTAAGCTGAAGAGCCAGCATTGTCCGTAAATGCCTCCAAGGTCATGTCCGTAGATGCCTCCAAGGTCATGACTGCATGGAACGCTGTTACCTTCCTGCCATACTGGAACCTATTGATCTACTCACATTTGCATGTTTTTGAACTGCTAGATTGCCAGAAGCTGGGGCTAACAGCGGAAGCTCATGCCACTCCCTGGATTTGAACCTGTGACCTTTTGGTCAACAAGTTCAACAGCTCAGTGGTTTAACCCACTGCGTCACCGGGAACTCCACTTCATACTGTACCATATGTGCAGCCATGCGCTGGGCCTGTAATTGATTTTTTAAACAGGACATGCTCTTTGTGCCAGCGGGGAGCCGGGGTGCCACGGGTGAGAGGCCTTCAAGGATTTCCCCATACACAGTCTTTAAAGGGCTTGAAATGTTTAACAAAGTTCTTTATTATTGCTTAGGTCTTCAATAAAACAACAAACACTTCTTGGATCTTCAACAGATTAAACAAATGTTTCTTAACTTGCCCCAAAATGGACAGGCACCTTGCTTGGAGAACTATTTCTTTCTTTAACAAGGAAAACCCTTTTTTAACCCCACCCAGGCAATGTACTGTCTAAGCTTTGCTGATGTGGGTTCTACTACCGGTTCCAATCTGCGTCTAGGGTCCCGAGTAGACCTACCAGTCAAGGCTATGTAGATTCTCCAATTGGAGTTCTTTGGGTCTGTAAAACTGTTTTCTTCCAGAACTTTAGGACTGTTTCCCTCAGATGCAGTAAAGCTGAGAGGCTGTAAGCTCCCAGACAGAGCTCTGGGACTGTTTTTCCCCGGAATTTCTGCCCCGGATGCTGTAGGAAATGAAGCTTTTCTACGGATGGAGCTAATCCACGTCCTGTAGCTTAGCTTTCCACTATAAGACTGAACTAAAAATGGCTCCCTCTCTTCCCATGGCCCTGGGGAAAAGGGCGGAATCAAAACTTAACAATGATAGACAGGTGGCTAGCCCTATGATTGCAAACCAAGGGAAGCCAGCTTGTTGCAAATGCATGGAACCTTGGAATATATGCAAACACTCAATAGAAAGAAAATGAAGTTGAAGCTCCTGGTACAGCCGTACCAGCACACTATACCATAAACTTCATACTACAACATACCATAAACTCTGTATTGACTTGATATTAATACTGAAATATAGTACAGGCAAATCAACACTAATAAATACGTATAAACTTAACTCAATGTAACACAGATCTACTGTTTTACTGCATTATAACACCATTTTTTTAAATTTAAAATATTATTTCTTTTAAAAAATTTTGCCAGTTGCTTGAGAGATATGGTTAACTGAGGGTCTGCTGCATGTTTTTAAATAAAATGTATAACCCTCAATTTTGTAGGCTTGTGTAATCTGGCAGAATCATATCAACCTGGACACTGAGTCGAAACAAACCATCTTCTGTCCTGTCTGTCTGTGTTGTCTATACAAAGCGGCATTGAATGCTTGTGGTATATGTGTACTGTGATCTGGGGTGAGAAGGGCGGAATGTAAATAATGTATTATAAATAAAATTATTAATTGATTGATTGATTGATTGATTGATCTAGCTGTCTACACTGCCCCAAAGCTCCTCAACACTCAGGACAACTCCAGAGCATCCCTTGGTATTTCCTGAGATGAAGCAAAGCCAGATTAAGCAGCATAGAAGTACAGGAATATTATGAAGACTGCCACAGAGCCAATAGGATGACTCTGGGTTTTAATGCCCATGTAGAATCACTCTGAATCTACACTCACTACAGGGTGGTCACATTACATTCAATCAAGCTATTCATCATTTCCGTTTTGATTGATGTACCTGAGACAGAGAGGAAGTCATCCACAGAAGTGATATCGTCGACTGCCTCAGTGAGAACCCGCACTTGCTTCTCCCACTGGTCTTTGAACACGTCCATGTTATCTTGGGCCACTTTGCTCTGAGGCCTGGCAGCCAACGTGAGTGCCGCATTTATTACCTGGGAAGAAAGAATCAGTTCTTATCAGAAAAGAACGACTTGATTAAAGACTACGCTAACAACACCAGAGTGTGCCTTGATTGTTCGGCTGATTAAGTGAGGCTGAGCATTCAAATGCATTTTTCTCTGTTTGAACAAGGCAATCAACAGGATAATGGCAAGAACAAAAGTCTGATCTTTCTGCCATGTGTTTTTCCTGTGTCAAGCACTTTCTGTTTCTAAATGCTGCAAAAGGCTTACGATTAAACGCACAAACACACATTCCATAGCTTACCTGTGGACACAGACTATCAATCTGGGTTGCTGCCATGCGGACTAATTTAACACCTTCTTCATTATTGGAAATGGAGCAGGCCAAATTGGCAACCTGGAATTAAAACCAGCAAAATAAGAATTAGGTTTGCAGGAAACATGGATTCCCATGTTATTTCTTTTTGCTGGAAACATGTTGGGGAGGGAAGAGACTCTCAATGGCATCCTAAGAATTTTGGCTTTTTTGTTAGCCTTTTGAAATGGATAACGAGTTTCCGGTAGTGCAAATAACATTAAAAAATAGCAGACGCATAAATTTGCTAACAGCTGGTCTAAACTAATGTGGATGCACTGAATCAATTCATTAATGGTAAGTACTTATGTAGATAACACTAATTCAGTAGTCTGTTCTAGATAACATTAACAATTCCATTTAGTCCAGAGAGTTTATTTTATGGCGCTTCTCTTTGTCTTGGTTGAGGGACTGGGCAGGTGGCTCACTGATGCAAAGAAAATACACTAAAAGATAAGTTATGGGATGCCATGGTTTGGTTTTTTTTGTTTGTTTTGTTTTTCAATTCCCAACAGCCTTCCCCTTCTGAGTTTCAACTTGAGATTTCATTTTGAAAGTAGCCAGTACAGTTTGGAAGAAACGCAAAGTACGGACAATTCCTATGTTATGGCAGCTCCACTGGCTACCGATCTGCTTCCAGGCAGGAACTTAGTTTAAAGGGTTTTGAAAAGGTTAATTTTTTTTATAAGTGCATATCTGTGCCTCATATAGAAGCTTAGGCATAACTTTTACTAAAAAAATACCTGGATAACGGCATAAATAATTGCTTTAATATCCCTCTGGGCATTTACTTTGGTGCTTTTAATGTGAGTATCCAATGTATCCCTTGTCTAAAAGAGAGTACTCTTTTAGACTCCGGCCCAATTTACCTGTCCGAACGTATCCTCCGCTATGAACCATCAAGATTGCTAAGATCGTCTGGAGGGGCCCTGCTCTCGATCTCACCAGCCTCACAGGCACATCTGGTGGGGACGAGAGACAGGGCCTTCTCAGTGGTGGCCCCTCGACTCTGGAACTCCCTTCCACTGGAGATCAGAACTGCCCCTTCTATCTTAACAGGTGAAAACTCGGTTTTGGGGATTGGCTTTCGACGAATGAGCCATGATCCTGGGACATGGATGGATGACGACGAATAATGATTTTTGATGACGACTGACCACTGTAATTATATGATTGTATTTTGCTATTTTAATGTTTTAGTGTGATTTAGAATATTATGTTTTAATGACTGTCTGTAATATTGATGTTGGAAACCAGCCTCGAACAGAGGTGAGAAGACTGGTATACAAAACTGCTAAATAAATAAATAAATAAATGCTCAGATATTTTTTTAAAATAACATGTCAATGTAACAGATTAGCCTACCTTACAAGGTTGTTGTACAGGCAGTAAAAGGCCTGGTTTGTAAAAAATAAACTAAGGAGAGCAGGTAGGCGGATAGATCAGGCAGTTTCATAGCTGGTGCGGTCTGATTGGCTGATAAAATTGGAGGGAGGTGCTTAACTGATAAAATTGGATGGAGCCAGAGGGAGAGAAAGAGCTAATGCAGCCAGAGTTTAGTCAATTTGGAGTTTGAAGAGTTTCAGAGATTTGACGGGGAAGGAAGAGTTTTGGGAACTGTTATTGGAAAGATACCTCTTTGAGGAAACTGATTAAGGCTTCAGGGAGAATGAGTAAGAAATATAGTGAGCCTCTATAGGTTTAGAGTGCTGGGAGGGAAAGAGCATTGAAAGGGGTTTAAAACCACCTGTTTGTATTCCTGTGTGTAGAACATTGTTTGCAAGAAACTCAAGACATAAAACCATTATCTGTAAAAGTAAAGCCTGTCAGTTTATTGAAACCACTACACATCTTTACTGTTCAAGAACAAAATAAACATCATATACTTGTTTTATTTACCTGAAGAATTTGTGTGTTCTTAAACATTCTAGCAAGGAGGAGGCCCATAGAGCAATAAATGGTAGCAGAAACAAAAGAAACCTTAATAATAGATTGGTGGCAGCAAAGGAATATATAATACACAGTGGTAGCATCCCACTGTCCTGTCTTGTGTGTGTGTGTGCCCTGTCCCCTCGGCCTTGCAAGCCTGTCATCCTTTATTGCAGTTACCAATGCGCATTTTATGCCTTATTTTTTCTAGTAAATGACTTTAGACTTGGAGTAATTAATCAGTTGTTCAGTTTTACAATATGATTGCAGGATTTTTAGTCGGTGTCTTAACCCCATACAAGAAAGAGCAAGTTGCACTGCATCATCAGCATATAAAAGAATGGGGAGTGGTATATTTGCATGATTTGGAGGCTGCAGTGCACAGCCTTTTTTCCATACTTCAAACTAGCAAATTAATATATAAATAAAATAAAATATACACGTTAGCTTTACTCCATTATAGGTCTGAATTTGCTCTGTTAGATGTCCCTGGCAGTTGCATCTAATCTGTAGCCAAATTTATTTATTTATTATTTATTTGTTTACTTCATTTATATACCACTTTTCTCAGCCCTTGACTCAAAGCAGTTAACAATAGAAACAGTGACTCAAAGCAGTTAACAATAGAAAACTTCGATGCTCAACAACATAAAAACAGTTAAAAATAATGAAAACAATGGCATAATAAACAATCAATTAATAAACATATCTCCTTCTATGTCCCAATGCAGAGTTTAAGATCTTCGGGGGAGGCCCTGCTCTCGGCCCCGCCTCTATCACAAGTGAGGCTGGTGGGGACGAGGGACAGGGCCTTCTTGGTGGTGGCCCCTCAACTGTGGAATTCACTCCCCGGGGAAATTAGGTCATCAACATCCCTCCTCTCCTTTGGAAGGAAGCTGAAAACATGGATATGGGAACAGGCCTTTGGGGAATCTGGCAGACTGACAAGGTAATGGCGACCAGAAATTGGAATGGACTATGGTAATGCTGAATGGACTTATGGATATTAGAACTCAGTGAACATTGGCCAATAGATTGGCTTTTAATTGTTATTGTTTTAATTGATTGTTTTTAACTATTGTGGTTAATACTGTTATGTAATTTATTTGTTGAATTGTTGGCATCGAATTGTGCCGGTTGTAAGCCACCCTGAGTCCCCTCTTGGGGGTTGAGAAGGGCAGGGTAGAAGTGCCCGAAATAAATAATAAATAAATAAATAAATAAATATTTTCGTACAGACTGCAGATAAGAATAAGAAGGCATCTGCCAATATTTGTACCACTTAACATAATCTGTCATGTGGGTTGAGGTGAAAAGCAGCACAGAGAAATCTCCCTTTTGTTAGAGCATATTTTTCAACCAGGTGTGGGAGCACTAGCTCTTGATCAATGGTTGAACGCTCCACCCTGAAACCAGCTTGTGCTTCTGCTAAAATATGTTCCTGGTTCATCCAATCAACTAATTTTTTTGAAGACATGGGTCACATACAATTTGCTAATAACATTTAGAAAACTGATAGGTCTATAATTAGATGGGTCAGATGTTTTCCCTTTAGATAATCTGGAGAGGCCCTGCTCTCGATCCCACCGAGATTGGTGGGGACGAGAGAGAGGACCTTTTCGGTGGTGGCCCCTCAACTCTGGAACTCACTCCCTAAGGACATCAGGCAGGCCCCAACTCTGGCAGTCTTTAGGAGGAGTTTGAAGATGTGTTCCAGTGTGCCTTCCCAGAATAATGATCCCATTGCACTTTGTCCTCCAAAGCACTTCACATATTAGGTCTGCTTGTACGTTTTCCGCAAATGCCACTTTCACCTTTTGCACCCATGTCCCGGCATCATTTCCAATTTGAACTTTACATTTGGCCTTCCCACTTTTTTTAATTGTGTGTTGTCTTATTGTTAATTGTTGCATATTTTATTGTCTATGTTTTTATTTTAATTGTTTGTATTGTTGTATTTGGCCTCGGCCTCATGTAAGCCGCACCGAGTCCCTTGGGGAGATGGTAGCGGGGTACAAATAAATTATTATTATTATTATTATTATTATTATTATTATTATTATTATTATTCTATAAAGGTATGATGATTGCCAATCTCCAATCATCCAGTTTCTGAAGTTTCTGAAGTTTGTCTTTCAAAAGGCTTTCTTGGGGGGATATTAACCAAAAACAAGAAGTCATAAACAAGAAATCCCTGGATGAAATCCGACAAGTTTCCCTTACTATTAATCTAGCAAGCAATTACTAGATTGTCGAAGGCTTTCATGGGCGGAATCACTGGGTTGTTGTAGGTTTTTTCGGGCTATATGGCCATGGTCTAGAGGCATTTTCTCCTGACGTTTCACCTGCATTTATGGCAAGCATCCTCAGAGGTAGTGAGGTCTGTTGGAACTAGGAAAAAGGGTTTATATATCTGTGGAAAGACCAGGGTGGGACAAAGGACTTTTGTCTGCTGGAGCTAGGTGTGGACAAGTCCTTTGTCCCACCCTGGTCATTCCACAGATATATAAACCCATTTTCCTACTTCCAACAGACCTCACTACCTCTGAGGATGCTTGCCATAGATGCAGGTGAAACATCAGGAGAAAATGCCTCTAGACAATGGCCATATAGCCCAAAAAAACCTACAACAACCCAATTACTAGATTCAGATTCATTGCAACTGTGATCAACTTTTTCACCCCCATCAGGTGGTGTGATGTACCCCTTCACAAAATATCGACAACACTTCATTTTTCCTGATGATTAGAAATAAACAAAGTCAAATTTAGCTTTGATTACTGTAGAGATCCTTGACTCCAAATTCTAATTCCCTACTAAAACAAACAAGTATTTAATAAACATTGGGTTTTAGTAAAAAAAAAAATTCTTGCTAGAGGCGAAGCTACCAGTTGGAAATGATTCATGAATAAGTTCAAATGCCCCCATTTATCTCTGCCATTCCTTTGGTCTCCCCTTGTGGCATTAATCTGTTCCTGTTTCCAATGCACAGCACCGTAGAAGCCCTGATCCATCTGTTCAACTAGCCTTCCATCTCCTCCCTCCCAATTTCAATTCACTGCTATCAAGGACGTGGCTTGCATGCATCCCTGTGTCAAACCCAATGGAGGCAA